GACCACAACAAAGGGAACCCCCATACAGGCAACGCAACGCAAGTACCTCCAGATTCTAGCTGAACTGGTGCATTTAATATAAATTTTAACCTCATTGAGGAACTCAATGCGAGGGTTAATTAAGTGATTGATGGTTGTTCAGGTCTATGCAATTGCACATATTTCTGTAAACTTGGGACTCCACATTTTCATTCTCTTAAACTAATTATTTCCTCACTTTCTGTCTTTCTGCAACTTGTGTGAATGCATGTGTTTATGTGTTAGATTAGTTTACATGTCTTAGATCTATCCAATAAAGCCTTATTTATATTGAAAAGAGAAGTATCTTGTGTTTCGTGCTTGCAAGTTAATGTCTTAAACTGCCGATCTTGTTACTGTGCTAATAAATAGTGTTTTCAGTATACTTTGGATATTAATATCCATTGCAGAATTTATGTTATACAGCTCGTTCAATGAATCGCTGGCCGTCTCAGTGATCAGCCGTAAAACAGTGATTCGGTCCAAATTCCCTATAAAATCATAAATAATTCCCTTTGAGCTAAATTTACCTGCTTCCCTTCCAAATCCAGGTGTGAAAAACTTGTTGCATCTTTCCCAAAAAGACTCATGGCTGTATTCGATCAAAAAGGTGCTTCTACTAAATACTGAGGAAAGGGTCTGAATACTTAGGACCATGTGACATTTCAGTTTTTCTTTTTTAATAAATCTGCAAAAATGTCAACAATTCTGTGTTTTTCTGTCAATATGGGGTGCTGTGTGTACATTAATGAGGGAAAAAAATTTACTTAAATGATTTTAGCAAATGGCTCCAATATAACAAAGAGTGAAAAATTTAAAGGGGTCTGAATACTTTCCGTACCCACTGTATATTATTTGAAAGAAGTCTTATGCTCATAATGGCTGCATTTATTTGATCAAAAATACAGTACAAATATTATTTCAATTTAAAATAACTTTTCAGTTTTAATCTATTTTAAAATGTAATTTATTTATTTTGGTGGCAAATGTGGCTGATCTTGTGTTTAACTTTTTTTTTTTATCTCAAATTCTTGTATTTCTTGTAAGAAATTGCAATAAAACACTATGCCAAAGTGCTTCCAATAATGTTAGCCTTCTCCCTTTTTCACCACTGTAACATTTAATACATTATTCCATATATAATAAATTGAAAACCTATTTATCATTCCTCTGTTGTACTCTATTCAATTTGAGCATATTTATTTGACAAACTAGAGAATTAAGATAAACATGACTGGCATTTTAAGAAAGCTGAGTCCCATGCTCTCAAATGTCAATCATCAAACAGGCCTTTATTGCCATAATATTGCTTTGATAGAATTTCTTTAAAAAAGTAGACTGTCCACTCTGACATAAATAGAGACACCAGGCAAATAAAATAGAGTAGAGCGTCATAAAAAAGACAAACAACAAATACTCATGTTTAGAGATGTGTGTATGTTTTCAATATGTGATAAAGATGTAGCAGCTCTAACCAGACTCTCTCTTGTGTAGTTTGGTAGCTTTATACCCAGTAGGATCAGATGTAAGTGTGTGTACTGTATATATACATCTAGCAGCTCTGTCCAGCCTCTTTCTGTAGTGTGGCCTCCTCGGTGCGGAGCGGAAATGTGTCAATGGTGGTAAAGATCTCTGCTGCTGTGATGGGGAAAGTGTAGCGCTGCTTATCCACTCCCTGTTTGTCCAGCAGCACCATGTTAAATGAGTTCTGAGACAGCTGCAGCAGCAACCTGCCCCACACAAACAAAACACACACGTTTAGTTTAGATGTACATTGTGATGTGTTTAATATTGGAATCAATTAACTAAAAGCTCCTCATAAGTTCTTGAAATTATATACAAAACAGCATTTGAAGAAAATGAATCAAGTGACTGAAATACAGTAATGAAGTACCTGAGTTGTAGAGCTAGTCCTGGAGGGATAGGTCTGTGTCTGATGCGGCCAATCTGAGCTGGATAAACCCCCACCAACTCAATCACTGTCACATGTCTCAAGTCCAGACCACACTGGGCATGCTAAACCACACACACAACACAAATCATTCCAGTTTAGTTGCTTATTTATGTATAATCTTACACAGTATTGTAAAATTAATCTATATCTCTCTCTCTCTTTATATGAGAGAGATTAATCTTACAATCATTTGTATATTAAAGTATAATCTATACCATCATTTGAACATGTTAATGTTATATATATATATATATATATATATATATATATATAGTAAATTTTAAAGTAACTTGTAATTATACATTCATCAGATCAACATTATCAATATATATTATATAATATATATTTATAAAAAAAACAAATACACACATGTAGATAGATAGATATTTTGTACATTGTGACGAGAGGGCCGGGGCCGAGAGCCGTGGGAACGGAGCGAGGCCGGTGGAGAAAATGCTAATGCACAACACCTGCGCACAACACCTGTTTCTTTGAACATTCGCCGGTTCCCGCCTCCTTCTTCCCACCTCCTTCTTCCCGACCTCCTTCTTCCACGTTGTTACATTGGTGCCGAAACCCGGGAAGAAGGAGGCTGGAACCGGCGAACATTTAAAACTTTAATAAAATAAACAAACACAAAACTAAAGTAAAGCGGCAGCCCCTTGCGGACGACTGCCGCACACAAAACACAAAATAAAGTCCAGGCCTGGTCCTCTCTCATCCAACACTGTCATCACTCCTCCTTTTATCCTTCCGGAGCTCCTCCGTGGGACTCGAGACCGGTGAGTGGCGCAGGTGTTGTGCATTAGCATTTTCTCCACCGACCTCGCTCCTTTCCCACTGCTCTCGGCCCCGGGCCCTCTCGTCACATACATGTTAATGTTATATACTCACTAAATATATTGTACATTTTAAATTTTAATTTTAAGTATTTATCATGAATCTTAACAATATGTACACATTAATATTATATATTTACTAAATATATTTCAAATGTAAATTATAAATGAATTTTATTGAATTGAGTTGTATTGTTATTTTTGTTCCTTAATTGTACAAATTATTGTAAGACTTATCAATATTGTCTATATATATGTGTGTGTGTGTGTGTGTGTGTATGTGTATTTATTTAAAAAATAAGTTTCTATGTACATTTATAAATATTTATCTCTCTCTCTCTCTATATATACAGTGGGTACGGAAAGTATTCAGACCCCCTTAAATTTTTCACTCTTTGTTATATTGCAGCCATTTGCTAAAATCATTTAAGTTAATTTTTTTTCCTCATTAATGTACACACAGCACCCCATATTGACAGAAAAACACAGAATTGTTGACATTTTTGCAGATTTATTAAAAAAGAAAAACTGAAATATCACATGATCCTAAGTATTACTGTATATATATATACTGTATATATATACTGTATATATATATACAGTATATATATACACACACACAAATTATTATTTTTTTACAAAAAAAAGTACAAGATCTCACACTGACTCTCAGCCCTTAGTCTGCAAGTCAATGTAGAATAAAAAGGCAGATATTGATCTTATACCTGTAAATTAGTCATTTGGAATCTGTAGTAGTGATTGGCAGCTGAGGGGGCGGAGATTATCAGAACACGGCGTTTCTCATAGAACTGGTCCAGTAATGCAGCAGCAGACCGCACACCAACATTAATATTCATGGCTTTTAATAAAACAAATGATTATGATGTTATTCACCAGAGGGCAGGACAGGAAGAGCAAGATCATGAATTTTACACGATTTGTGAGGTTTAATCTCATAAGAATAAAATGAATAATTCTGTCATAAAAATTCTGCCATCGTTTATTCTAACAATCTGCCTTACAATATTACATTTGAATATTTTACCTGAATAAGCAGCATCATTCAGGAATTCAGGAATGCAATGTAATCTTAAATATAATGAAGTATAATGTATAATGCAAGGAATTTCTCTAGCTAAGCTGACTGTAAGTGTTTGTGAGGTGTTAATGTGTTTTTGCCTACGAGCACAAGAAGTCTCCAGGCCAGACCACTCCATGTTAAATTGGCAGACTCTGGCGGCGCTGCCCCTCAGCTCATAGCCACCCAGACAGCGGAATTCACACGTGGCCCCGTAATTATCAGCCGCACTGTCACATTTCATCCATCCATTGTCAGGGACAGAGAGAGGAGTACAGCGACGCACTGCAACATGCACATAACACACACATCAATGCCACCACAATGCCAGCACATTATGCAATGTTCTGCAACTAAATAAACCAATGACATTTTTTCAGTAATGTGAGAGTAGTTTACCAGTTCTCAAAACAACTTAGCTTTTTCAGTAAAAAAAATTAAATAATTTTTTCCATTCAGTAGTCGCTTACATTATATCATCAGATAACTGCACTATTGCTCAAAAGTTTGGGCTCTGCAAGATTTTTTTGAAAGAACTTTACATTTATTTAGCAAGGATGCATAAACTTGACACAATAAAGTTACAGTAAATACATTTATAACATTACAAAATATTTCCATTTCAAATAAATGCTGCTCTCTTGCACTGTCTATTCTTCAAAGAATCCTGCAATTCATTTATCACAGTTTCGACAAAAATATTAAACCACACAACTGTTTTCAACATTGATCAAAAGAAGAATTGTTTCTTGAGCAGCAAATAAGCGTATGAGAAAAAAAATCAGAAAAAACATGTGACACACAAGGCTGGGTTAATGACTGCTGAAAATTCAGCTCTGCCATCACAAGAATAAATTACATTTTTAAATATATTATAATAGAAACAGTTATTTTAAAGTGTTATAATATTTCACAACATTACTGTTCAACTGTATCAAACCAAGTGAAAAAAAGTGAGCATAAGAGACTTCTTTCAAAACCAAACTTTTGAGTGGTAGTGTATATATTTACATAGATGTTGCCAAATTAAAAAAAATTCTGAGGATTTGTAGCTAACATTTCTTAGATGCTCATAATTTAGCTAAGAATTTTTTAAGAATTGTTTGACTGTATTTTGATTACTTTAAACATGAGTAACTTGTAGCTTAGAAAGCTAAAGTTTCAAAAGAACTCACCTCTCACTCGGACATTGAACCTGCAGGTCGCCTTGTTCTCAGCACGGTCAAACACAGTGTATGATAATTTATGATTCCCTTCTGGGATGTGCGTGCCTGACGGCTTTCCTTTCAGTATAACACTACAACACAAACAAACAAAAAAAAGTATCTTTCTCACAACAAGAATCTGGATTAGTTTTATTAGACTGATTAGATTTAAATCTGAATTCAGCTAGAAATTACTTGATTCTCAATTGTGGCATTGATCGGTCAAATATTTTTGCATTAAGACCTGAATTTGCCCGTTGCCATGGTTACTTTCATATATGGTGAGGATAAAACTGTTACACTGACTCTGTTAGGATGCCGTCTGCCGTGTCTTTGCCCTCTGGTGTGTCCCACGTCACTTTGGCGGTGAGTTTCCCTGGTTCAGCAGTCTTCTCCTTTATATTAGGACACGTAATAACTGGGGGATCCACATCTGAGACAGAAAACACCTTTACATGCCTCTCCACCTAAATACTATGTTATGGATCCATATCTGTAAATAAATATTAATGAGTGCTCAATGAAAACCCACCCACACACACACTGTTGCCACCGCTCCACGTTCTGCTGCTTTGACAGGAGGCGCTGAGGTCTCCTCGAAGTGTGTATCCCGGTGAGCAGAAAAACTGGCAGCGGGAGTTGAAGTATGATCCGTCTGAACACTTATAACCTCCATTAGATGGCATGGCCAGTTTAAGACAGCGGACTTCTGTAAACATAATTCATGCCCTGGTGAAAATGGATTATCAATGGACAATCACTTCTGCCAATCCAAATAAATTCATGTGTCATATAGCTGCTGATTGACATGTGGTTGATAGTACTAGATTGTGTCTTGATATGCCTTCAGGTTTGCGAAGTGAAGTGATGTGTGGCCAAGTATGGTGACCCATACTTGGAATTTGTGCTGCTCTGCATTTAACTCATCCAAGTGCACACACACAGCAGTGAGTAGGGTAAGTTTGGGGGTCCAAATGTGACGCTCAATAATCATTTGAGCAATTCATAAAGATGATTAAGAAATAAAAAATAAAAATCAACTGAGCAATCGGTAAATTATTTGATAAAAATTAATAAAGCTATCAAACCTTCAGCATGTGGCTGAACAAATTAATAAAATTTCAATTTGGTAATCAAAATAATCAGTTAATAAAAATATATGTGACCCCAGAAAAAAATACATAAATGTTCTCCAACAGAAATAGGTTTCAGTGTTCTATTCCATCTAATTCTGTGACTTGTACTTACTATAATCTGAAAGTAAGTTATCCAGAAACGTAAAACAAGGCTAGCTTTAAGGCTGAATAAAGGCTGGACCACAAAACCAGTCATAAGGGTAAATTTTTCGAAATTGAGATCCTGAAAGCTGAATAAATAAGCTTTACATTGATGTATGGTTTGTTAGGACAATATTTGGCCGAGATACAACTATTTGAAAATCTGGAATCTGAGGGTGCAAAAAAATCAAAATATTGAGAAAATTGCCTTTAAAGTTGTCCAAATGAAGTTCTTAGCAATGCATATTACTAATCAAAAATAAAGTTTTAATATATTTACAGTAGGACATTTACAAAATATCTTCATGGAACATGATCGTTACTTAATATCCTAATGATTTTTTGGCATAAAAGAAAAATCTATAATTTTGACCCATACAATGTATTTTTGGCTATTGCTACAAATATACCCCAGTGACTTAAGACTTAAGGTTTTGTGGTCCAGGGTCACATATAATAAAGCAAATTGAAAACACAATTTTAGGTTTACCAATTACTAATATAGAAATCATCTTTAAAAAAATACAGTACACTACTGTTCAAAAGTTCGGGGTCTTTTTAATTATTTTTTGTGTGTGTTCACCTGTGTATCGCACATCTTCATCATCAGTGTATGGCCAGTATCCAGAGCCTGCAAAACAGTTTAGGACAGCAAAAGCAAGAAAGAGCTGGCATGACCGCAGAATTTCAGATTCAGCTCAACTAGAATCATTTGTACTCTGGAAGACTATATTAGAACTAAGCAAACCACAGTTTGGTTTTTTGTTGTAATATTTTTAAGTTCAGTTTGCTAACATATGTAAATCTCAGAATAAAAACGTGTAATTGTGTACACCACCGTTCAAATGTTTGGGGTCAGTGAGATTTATTTAAATTATTTTAAAGAAATGAACAGTTTTAGTCAGCAAGGATGCATTAAATTGAAAAGTGTCAGTAGCAACTTTTATATAATTGATACAAAACGTTTCAGTTTCAAAATGCTGTTTTGTTGAACTTTCAATTCGTCAAAGAATTTTAAGAAAAAGGAAAATCACATTTTCCACAACAATATTAAGTTGTTTTAAACATTGATAATAACACGGAATGTTCAACTTTGTTTTTTCTGTTTTACTGTATGCAGTGTATGTATTTAATGTATACCCCCCACCCACACTTTTTTTGGATTTATTTATCATTTTGTAACTTTTCAGTGTTCTATTCCATCTAATTCTGTGACTTGTACTTACTGTAATCTGAAAGTAAGTTATCCAGAAACGTAAAACAAGGCTAGCTTTAAAAATATATATATATAATGGAAAACTCCATTAGCCCTCCTCACAGATCACTCTCTTTGACTGGGATCAAACACAAAAAACAAGAGCCTGCATTCAATGCATAAATTGATGCTGATTTGACTTTTTATTCCCTCTAGTTCTGTCCTTTTGTCTCTTGTGAGTGTGTAAGTGTGTGGATGGCAGATCACACAGCAAGTTAGATCAAAGCTCCCTCTGATGCAGTAACAAGACCTCAAGAGACTCAGCAGCACACACACGGACACACAATGCTAATTCAGAGCTAGAGGCGAATCATGACAGGACTACAGTTTTCCAACTTCTATCATGGAAAACACTCCACAGGGATCATGTGTGTAGGTGTGTGTGTTTTCGCTCCATTTGGCAGATGAGTTTTCCTGTTCCATTCTGTTAAGCAGAATGCTGTGTAACCCAGAATACTCACTGACTTGGCTCAGTTTCGCTCTCTCTCTCTCTCTCTCTCTCTCTCTCTCACACACACACACACACACAGGTATAAATACTTCAAATGGAGGGAGTTTCCACTTAAGAAAACTTTGTTGACTAAACCATTTAGCTTCTGCTGCACCTTCTGTTTTACCACAGTCCTGAGGATCACAAAAGATTTCTTTTGTACAACTTCTACAATGTTTAGCTTAAAAAAAGTTCACTCTTGGATGGACGTTCTGCAGTCATAAGTCATCAGAAAGTAATATCCCTCAGGCTCCCCATGTTCAGTGTCTGCAGCAGCTCCAGCCTCACAGATTCACAACTCCTATTTGTGTGGAAGTTAGTTAACCTCATTCTACAATCTGACAGTCAAGTACAGACTAATTATGTTCATATCCAACTATCAGCCACCGCAAAATGGCCTATCAATCATCCAGAACCCCTTAGCACAATATCAGCACACATTAGCAAACATACAGATCAACTTTGCAAAGTTTGTCTTAATGAACTTTCCTTTTCTATTTTGAAACTATTGTTTTAGATCAACATTTAAATGAAGCAACAACAACAGGGTCAAATTCTCAACTTATGATCTTTTTTCTCTCATATGCAACAAGCTAGCTCACTTAAAGTTTTGTAAATTAGTCAAAACAATTAGTTCAGACAGTTTAATTCAAGTTTGAGCAGTGGGCATTTTACAACTACTTAAAAGCACATGAAATTCACTGATTCAAGTCAGGACAGTGTGGACAGTCAGCGTCTGTTCTGTCTTAATCTTGTAACATATGCTCATGTTTTAGCCAGCATGAGCCTGTGTTTGTGTTCACAAGGCCATAAAATACACAAACACAAATAACCACCCAGTCTTTGTGAATAAACAATGCACATAATTTGAGGTAATTCACCAAAGCCTTGAACAACGTAATTTATTTTACTGACATTTACTTTACACATGCAAATAAAGCCAATATGTGAGTCTGATGGTCTTGTACTTGTAAATCGGACCTCCAGTGTATTTACAAATTAAAGTCTGGAACACAACCACAACCTAAAACCCAATGACACGAGCCACAACCTCACACAGTCAACATTTTACTGAATTACATTTGCATTTGTGATTTAACTCTTAACGGTCCTCGAAATGGACCAAAAGAGCAATTATAGTTCTACCACCACAACACATGCATCTCTTCAGCTTCTTGAATTGTGTTTCCAGCAGCACAGGAAATTCACATGTCTAATCGAGTCCAAGCAAGTCTCTTTGCTTTTTCAATTTATTCTCTAAACAAAAAATCTTGGACCGAGAAACCAAGTTTTGAAGGGATATATTCTGCTTCTGCTGGAATATAAACAATGTTTTCTGGAAGCAAAGTGTACTTTTTGTTCTTACTAATATACACAAAATACTCCAAAAAAGAGCCCCCTTACCAGCCAACCAGGGGTGCGTTTCCTAAAAGCATTGTTAGCTAACTATGGTTAGTTCGATTGAAATCAGTTGGTAACGATGGAACTTGCGACCACAGTTGCTTTTGGGAAACGCACCCCAGACTGATACAAATATAAACCAAAACACAAAGTAGATTAAAATGCTACAAATGCCTAAAAAGGTCATATGGATTGGCTTAATATGTGACATGAGGCTACATCAGGTACATCAGGCATCAAGCAACCATAATCTGGCAATGGAAAAGTGGACAGAGCCTCCAGCCCTGAAAAAAGCTTTTTTTTCCCTATAATGTGAAAAATATCAAAAATTCAGAGTCACATTTCCAAATATCTGATCCAGACCCCATACTAACAGATCATTATAAAAACAGCTATGTATCAGTGTGTCAAAGCCTGAGGGACCGAGTAGTACAACATCAGCATATCAATACATGCCTCCAGTGATGATTTATTACTAGTTGATCCATAATTTGCATGTAGAATTTCTAATTCAGTGTCATTGTATCATATTCTATGATTAGTATTTTATTCTGTTGATTTGAGACTTTTAAAGCAATTTATTTGAGACACAATTTGACAGAAATATTATCCTCGAGTAGGCACATAACAACTTGCCTAAAAGTTGTTTAGTTTTATTATTAATAATATTTGTACAGTCCCTTTGTTGCCAACATAGAGGATAATGTACAAACTGCTCATTTTGAAAGTGTATGGTATCAACTATCAAAGTGAGATATCTAAATTAATTAATCAATTATCTAAATGAGAGGATGATAAACTGCTCATTTTAAATGTGCATGGAATTAAAAATATAAAACTATCTACATTATTAAAATATAATCTACTACTATATATGCATGCTCAATGAATGAGTAAATAATTATTATATACAAATATATATACAGTGTTGGGGGTAACGCATTACAAGTAACACGAGTTACGTAATCAGATTACTTTTTTCAAGTAACTAGTAAAGTAACGCATTACTTTTTAATTTACAAGAGAATATCTGAGTTACTTTTTCAAATAAGTAACGCAAGTTACAATTTTTTTCAATTTATTGATTGACAGCTCTCCTGTCCCCATGTTGAGAGAAATCAGATGTTACTGTAGTTCTAAAATAAATATGAATATGCATTAATTAATCTCACTCACAAAAAACAAACAAAAAAAACAGATTCAGTATTCCTCAAAATGAATAAAAATAATGCAACTCAGAATATGACGCAAACCTGCAATAATTAAATGTTAAACAACACAAATATCCTTTATGCATTTAATACCATTCTATTAAACAATGTCTTTGCTTCTGACCTTCGATGATCCAGTTCAACCATAATTATAAGCAAACATTACTCTAGAGTCTAGACAAACATTTGTGTCTTTTTTATTGCTGAAGTGTGTTGAAATGACTTCTGCAGTGTGTGTGTGTGTGTGTGTGTGTGTGTGTGTGTGTGTGTGTGTGTGTATATATCACAAAAATCAATTGTCCGAAAAGGATGAATGAGACCAGTGAACAAGTCTGCGTCTTTGGAAATATTGTAAATGCTGACAGTCATCCCAGTAAAGCCTTGCTGACTCTGCAGACACTCTGCTGGCCCACTTCCAGAAGACATTACATTATTTATACACCACTAATTCTTTAAAGATTTTTTTAAAGAGGAAGCACTCAAAAGATGTGTCAGAATCATCAGTATTGAGCAGATCAACCGGGAGCGCAGTGTCCTACTGGTGACAAGTCATCAGTGCCTTTTTATATGAAAGAGTTCAGTGACTTCTACTGTACGGATGTAAATTTACTTTCCCTTCAGCCTGAGGCGCATTCATTTCACTTTTGGTGCGAAAAGGCTTTTATATTTGCCAAAAATATAACTTTTTATTTTAAAAACAAACAAGTAAGCCCTCTCCAGATTAAAAAAGTTACGTAAAAGTAACGTAACGCATTACTTTCCATAAAAAGTAACTAAGTAGTGTATAATATATATATATATATATATACACACACCGTGCTTGTGTACTGCGTTAGGCTAACCGAGACTTGTCATTTGCACTTATATATTGTTGCTCTTTTGTTAGTTTTGACTGCTTTTATTGTCCTCATTTGTAAGTCGCTTTGGATAAAAGCATCTGCTAAATGCCTAAATGTAAATGTAAATGTAAATGTAATGTTCAGGGTGGTCTGTGTGTTTGTAGTGCGCTGCACACTTTGGGATCACTTAAGGTTTAGATACTGTGGTAGGACGTTGTTCCAGAACTGAGGGTCCTGAGCACCACTACCTGTTTGCTTACCGGAGGTAACATCTGCTTTGGCTTTCTGTTTCGGTACTTTTTTGGTCTTTTCTTCCTCTTCTTCCTCACTTTTGTCTTCCTCCTCACCTTCTTCCTCTTCCTCCTCTTCTTCTTGTTCTTCTTCCTCTTCACTAGTTTCTCTATGTTTCCTCTCATTTTTCTCGGGTGTTCTTCCTGCTCGGTTTCTTCCTCCTCTTCCTCACTCTCTTCTTCCTATTCACTAGTTTCTCTCAGTTTCCTCCTGTTTTTCTCTGTTTTTATATTCTTTACTTTCTGCTCTGTTTCTTCCTCCTCTTCTTCTTCTACTTCTTCACCTTCCTCCTTTTCTTCCTCATTAGTTTCTCTCTGTTTCCTCTGACTTCTCTCTGTTATTTTATTCTCTTCCTTCTTCTCTATTTCTTCCTCTTCTGCTTCTTCCTCACTTCCACTTTCTTCCTCATTATTTTCTTCCTTCTTTTCATTCAGCTTGTCTCCCTCATCATCTTCGTCATCTCTGTCTCTGAAACGTCAAGATTCTCTTCTCTAAACTTATTTTCACCTCTATCCATTTTCCCTTTTTTTTGTCCTCTTCTTTTTCTCCATCCTCTTCCTCAATCTGTTCTTTCCATTCTTGTTTTTCTCTATCTTCATCTCCATTTGTCTCTGACATTTTTTCCTCATCTTCAGCTTCCACCTCATTCTGTCACTCTTATTTTTCTCTCACACTCTCCTCTTCATCACTCCTGTTTGTGAATCCATCATTCTTGTCTTTCAGTTCTTCATTTTCTTTTTCATCCACCTCCTCTTCCTTGTCTTCTTCACCCTCCTCCTCTTCTTTTGCCCGATCTCTGTTTTCCTCCTCCTCTTCATTATCACTCTCTTCTTCTTGATTTTCTTCCTCATCTTCATTTCCTACCTCATCCTCTTCCTCACTCACTTCTTCTCCCTTTTCTTCCTGTTCTCCCTGTCCTTCCACTGTCTCATTCTCTTCCTCCTCTTCCTCATTCTCATCCTTTTCTTCACTCTCTCCTTCCTCTTCATCTGATCTCTCATTCTTATTTTCATTGTCACTTTCAGATTGTTCACCTGCTTCCATTTTCTCCTCATTACTGCTCTCTCCTTCCTGCTCCTCCTCTGCATCTGTTTTCTCCTTGTCTTCCACTTCTCTCTCACTCCCCTCATCCCAGCTCTCCCTCTCTTCTTCCTTGTCTTCACCACCACTCTCTTCATCTTTTTCCTCCTCTTCCTCTCCTTCCTCACCCTCCTCTTTCTCTTGTCCCTCACTCTGCTCTCCTTCTCTTTTAGTCTCATCTCCACTTTTTTCCTCCTTTACTCATCTCTCCCTCACTTTTGCTACTCTGTACGCTATTGCTGTCGTCCTCGTCCTCGTCCTTTTCAGTTGCCTCACTTTCCTCTTCTTCCCTGTCCTCCTCTCCCTGTTGAGCACTCTCTCCTCTATCTTCATAATTCTCGCTCTCTCTTTCTTCTTCATCTTCAACAGCACTGTTCTCCTGTTCCTGCCCAACCCCCTCACTTTCATCTTCTTCCTCAGCAAGACTCTCTTCTTCACCTCCCTCTTCATTTCTCTCGGTCTCACTATCCTTCACATGTTCGTCTTCCTCTATTTTTCCCATCACCACTCAACCACTCACTGTTTTCATTTGAAAGCTTGTTTTGTACATCTTGTGTGCTCTGCTGTTTGATTATGCTGTCATCTGTTTCCTCGATTGCTGATATGTCCTGAACTGTGCTGTCCTGGTCCACTTCCGTTTCTAGCAATACATTGCTTCCTGTTGTTTCATTGGACACTGATGCATGTGAGGACATCTCACTACTTGATTCTGATGGGGTTTGAGAAAGAACTTCAGCTGCTTTTATCAGAGGTGCAGCACTTGCTATAGCTAAGGCTGGTAGTGATGAAACTACACTACCCATAATGCTCTGCTCAGCCTGAGGCTTCCTGTCTGGCTTTCTAGGTTCAACTGTTTTTCTGGCTAATTTATTTTCTTTTAGTGGTGACTGCTTGTGTTGTGGTGATGAACTCGATGGACTTAATTTAGTAGATGATGATTCAGTTTCTTTTGTGGCAGAAGATTTATTGGTTGCTGATTGGTTATTGTACCATAAACTGGGAAAATGAGTGGCCTCTTTCTGGAGCTAAGCTTTTAATAGATGAAAATTCATGTTTCTGTTCAGTAAGCACTTTATTAGTGGGTGACTGGCTATTTTTATGATCAGACTGCAAGTTGGAAGCTGATTGCCTTTTTTTGATCCCCGATTTTCGTTTTTTTATTGGGGGAAAGTAGTTCTGAGGTATTTTACTATCATTTTCCCTTTTGACTTCTGTTGTTTCTTGTGCTAGCATTGCTGGTTTAAGCTGGAAGTTTGTGTTCTCAGACTCCACAGGATTTCCCTTTTTTGCTTTAGATATTCGTGTGGGTATGGAAACTGCATGATAGAGGGTTGAGTGTTTTGGGTGAAGTTTCTGACATCGGGGCCCTTTCTACATCTGATCTCTTCTTTTATGCTTTCTTTGGTGTAAGTTCACTTGGGCTTTCTTCTGCATCAACATCATTCTTTTCTTTACCTTTTTTGGGGGTGCTTTGCATTTTAGCTGGAATTTTGACTGGTGTTGAGTCTCCCTGTTCTTGTGTGTCGATCAGTGTTGATCTGACCTCTTGAGCATTTCTAAGGGATGGCTTGATGTCTCTTTGAGCATCTGCCTGAGGTGTTAATTCAACTTTGCTAACCTCTATGGCACGTCTTGAACCTTGACTGGTGACTTGACCCTTTTTGTAACTCTTACTTGAATACCCATCTCTTTGATTTTGGGAGATTTGACCTCTTGAACTTTTGTGGACGTTGTTCTAACTTGTTCAACTTCCTGAACTGGAGAACTTCTGGAGAAAGTCTTTTGAATTTCATTTGGACTTGACTTGGTCTCCTGCTCCATCTCAACAAGAGCAGTGACCTCTTGAATCTGCATGTTGAACTTTACTATATTTGTCTACTTTTGAAATCTTGTCCCTTGGATCAATATTAGTACTGCATGTTTCACTGCTTCCCTCTTTTTCCTTAGCTGACATTCTATCTGAAGATAATCTGACCTCCACTGCTTGACTTTTAGATTTATTATTTGTACTCTGGATTTTTGTATGTTTTGGATTGCATTTTGCTTTGTGATGCTGTAGCAGAAGAATGTTCCTCTGCCATGGCATGAAAAACATCCCCATTATCTGAAACATACAAAATTCCCAACAATTTATTTAGTCGGGCGTCGACAATCAAACTGTTTAAAGTACTTCCTCAAAAATAAATAACAGCATGGTTCTCATGTTCATGTATAGTGTTGATTGACAAGCGCTCACCTGTGACCAGAGCGGAGTGTCTGTATCCACATGAGACCCACTGAATGGGCTGCCCCAATTTCAGCTCTTTAGGTAATAGAGAGCAATTTGATTGGAGCATAGTCACAAAAGGGGTGGAGCCACTGGAAAGAAATGCTGTCATTACAGTGGCCCAGTCCCAACTGACCATCACTGTTTCCTCCAGCTGCAAAAAAATCTAATTTTGCTGGAGAAACCCCACAGATATTTTCACTTACCCACTTCATCTTACTCATAATTCTGTGACAAACTGCTATTATTCAAAGGTTCTAAAATTTGGGGTCAGTAAGATGTTTTTTTCCTTTAAAGAAATTAATAATTTTATTTAGCAAGGACTAATTAAATTGATCAAAAGTGACAGTAAAGACATTTATAATGTTACAAAGGTTTTGTACTCCAAGTGCTTTTGAACTTTTAATAAAATAATTCTGAAAAAATGTATCATGGTTTCCACAAAAATATTAAGCAGCACAACTGTTTTTAACATGGGTTATAATTAGAAATAAGATGGATTTAAAAACATTAAGACATCTTACCAACCACAAAATTTTGGTAGTTGTTACAGCAGCATGAAAGTTTGCCTCTGAATTAAAAGCTTTACTTACAAGTGCTGACGAGATCAGTCCCACAGGCAACAAACTGAGCTCTCTCCCCTTTAAGAGCTGGACGAATAAGAAGGTAAATAAGAAAAACGAGCATGATCTTTATAAAACAACATGCATCTCACTTTTAACACAGATCGGTTTATTCACTGGTCCTTTGGTTTGTAGACCAAGCTGACCTCTGTTATTATTTCCAAACGCAAACATACGGCCCTGCTCTGAAAAGAGATAATTAAAGAGACGTTTATTACAAAATATAGCTACAGTTACAAAATTACAGGGTGAATATAGAGAGATTACAACCTGTTACAAAGGCTGAGTGTGACTGTCCACTTCAGATGTGCATAGGTATATCATTCTTTAGCCATAACCTCCAGGGTACATTGCTTGCTATTTTACTTTTTCCAAAGGTGAATACAGCACCTGTTTCTGCAATAAGGAAACATATGTTCAGTACAACATTTGCCCTCAGTCACATTTGTTCACATGGAGCAAAGAGCAAACCTCCACACAAGCTCATCAAGATGGTCCATTTAAATCCTTAGAAAGCTTCCAGGAATAGCCTGTGTGGAGCTCAAAGACATGGGCTGCGTTCAGCCCCGACTGACTATGTATAGAAACTTTGTTAGACTCTGGTCTGTGTTTTGTGTTGCTTTGCTCCTCATGTGCCTTCCTTGCCCTTATTTGGTCCACCCTGTTCCTGTCCTCATTGTGTGTATTCCTCTCCAGCTGTGTTTTGATTAATTAGTTCATTTGCTCCCAGGTGTGTCCCATTGGTGTCTGTGTATTTAAAGTGTTCTCAGTTCCCAGTTCTCTGTCTGCTGTTAAGTGTCATTTTGGTTTGCCTGTGACAAGTTCAAGCTCAAACCGGTGCTTAACGTTTTGCTACGGTTTCCGGTTTGAACGACATGTTTCCTGGCAACGGTGTGCAACAGGGTTTGAGATATGTTTTCTCTTGTTTGGTGGGTGTGTCAAAAATATCAGCCCAATCAGCAGCAACATGTATGTAAACCACGCGGTATTAAAGAGACAGCTGGCACAAAGAATGGCCTTCTCAGCTGCCATAGTTGCAACTCTTGCATCATCAGAACAGGGTGTTCAACGCACCACCGTTTCCGTTTAAAAAACGTTTTGCACCATTTTGTCGTGGCTGAACGCAGCCCTGATGTCTCCCGTCCTGTGATCCTACGTGCCTTCATTAAAACCTTTTTGATTTACTTTATTCCTCGTCTCCTTGCTCGTTCCTGCGCTCCCAGTGTGTGTGTGTGACCGTTACAAACTGATCAGTTAAGCATAAAAAAATTGGACTTTCAATTAATAAATTTTAATTAATAAAAGAGTAATTGGCTAATAACATGGACATTTTTAACATAACACAGTTAAAACATTTAAAATGTTTGTTCAATTTTTATTTTGTAATTAAGGAGCATTTATTCTTTAGACTGTTTTTCTTTTTCTTTTTTTTAGTTTTTAACCATTTTAAATAATCTTTGTGCTTGGAAAATATTTTTAATATATACTATATTCTTTCAATTTATAAAGTCATAAAATCTGCTTTTAGAATAATTTTAAAATGTTGTTTAATTTTATTTTATTTACAATTTTTATGAAGCGTATTTGAGTTTTTTTTATTAATTAATTAATTTTTTATTATTATTCTCAAGTAATTTTCCATCTGTTTCATGTCTATTTCATGTCCACAGAGTGGGAAAAGCAGCTTTGGACAGTGTTAACCTGAAGGGCCACAGCTTTCTAACACTGAAGGATTTTAATGCAGAGGAAACTAAACATATCCTGTGGGTTTCTGCTGACCTTAAGAATGGCATTAAAACCTTTTTGATTTACTTTATTCCTCGTCTCCTTGCTCGTTCCTGCGCTCCCAGTGTGTGTGTGTGACCGTTACAAACTGATCAGTTAAGCATAAAAAAATTGGACTTTCAATTAATACATTTTAATTAATAAAAGAGTAATTGGCTAATAACATGGACATTTTTAACATAACACACTTAAAACATTTAAAATGTTTGTTCAATTTTTATTTTGTAATTAAGGAACATTTATTCTTTAGACTCTGTTTTTCTTTTTCTTTTTTTTAGTTTTTAACCATTTTAAATAATCTTTGTGCTTGGAAAATATTTTTAATATATACTATATTCTTTCAATTTATAAAGTCATAAAATCTGCTTTTAGAATAATTTTAAAATGTTGTTTAATTTGATTTTATTTACAATTTTTATGAAGCGTATTTGATTTTTTATTATTATTCTCAAGTAATTTTCCGTCTGTTTCATGTCTATTTCATGTCCACAGAGTGGGAAAAGCAGCTTTGGACAGTGTTAACCTGAAGGGCCACAGCTTTCTAACACTGAAGGATTTTAATGCAGAGGAAACTAAACATATCCTGTGGGTTTCTGCTGACCTTAAGAATCGAATAAGCACAGGGGCGAGGTACTGCAAAATATACTTCAACTAAGTTACTGATCAATAATCTTCCCATTTTCAGGACTGATATAATAAACAATGTTCATTTATTCCACTTTTATTTACAGTATGTCCCATTACTTCAAGGCAAATCTAGTGCCATGATATTTGAGAAGCGGAGCACTAGGACCCGCATGTCCACTGAAACAGGTGCCATTCAAAGTTTGAGCAAGTGAAAGGGCTTAAATTTATCAGTGCGGTCTCTGAACAAAATGAATAAAAAGGAACGGGTACAGAACAAAAGATTTGACACAAACAGTTTATCTCTCTCTCTCTGTCTCTTCGGGTTTTTTCTGTTGGGTGGCCATCCATGTTTTCTCACACCCCAGGATATTCATCTAGGAGTCAATGAGAGCACCACAGACACGGCCAGGTCTGAATTCACACACATTGCAAACACTGTGTGGACTCAATTCACTGAGGCCTTGACATGGTCTGATATGTGGGTGTGTTTGTATGGCAGGGTGCTCTCTGGTTTGGCAGATTTCATGTTAGCTCGGGTGTATAGTCACTCATCTCTGGAGCACCTGGACAAAGATGCTTCTATACCAATCATAAATGGCCTGTCTGACCTCTACCACCCTATACAGATTCTGGCTGACCTACTGACACTACAGGTACTCACTCACTGACACATACATACACATAAACCCAAGTACATGCACTCGTGTGTGTTTTTTTTCCACTCTTACAGGAGCACTACGGCTCATTAAAAGGCCTAACTTTAGCTTGGATAGGTGATTGAAACAATGTTCTTCACTCCTTTATGATGTCATTGGCTAAACTAGGTGTCAATCTAAAAGTGGCCACACCCAAGGTTCGCCTCTTTCAGATCTGTTTTATATATGCATACACAACTATTCAAATGTTGTTGTTTTTTTAAAGAAATTAATACTTTTATTCAACAAGGAAACATTAATTTTATTAAAAGTGAAAGATATTCATGTTACAACAGATTTCTATTTTAAAAAAATGCTGTGCAGTGAGCTTTCTATTCATCAAAGAGTCATGAAAACATTATCACAGTTTCCACGATAATATCAAGCAGCACAACTATTTTCATTATTGATAATAATAAGAATAGAATAGAATGATTTCGGGAAGGATCATGTGACACTGATAACTGCTGCAAATTCAGCTTTGCCATTACAGGACTAAATTACATTTGAAAATATATGAAAGTTTATTTAAATTGTAATATTTCACAATATTACTGTTTTTCCCCTGCATTTTTGATCAAATAAATTTTTTAAAGAAATTAATACTTTTATTCAACAAGGAAACATTAATTTTATTAAAAGTGAAAGATATTCATGTTACAACAGATTTCTATTTTAAAAAAATGCTGTGCAGTGAGCTTTCTATTCATCAAAGAGTCATGAAAACATTATCACAGTTTCCATGATAATATCAAGCAGCACAACTATTTTCATTATCGATAATAATAAGAATAGAATAGAATGATTTCGGGAAGGATCATGTGACACTGATAACTACTGCAAATTCAGCTTTGCCATTACAGGACTAAATTACATTTGAAAATATATGAAAGTTTATTTAAATTGTAATATTTCACAATATTACTGTTATTCCCTTGCATTTTTGATCAAATAAATGCAGCCTTGGTGAGCATAAGCATTTACAGTATGCAGTGTTTACCTAATTATGATATTCATGCTGTAGCTTGGTACCAAGTTGCAATTCCTGACGGATCCAATATAAGCAGCACAGGACAGTAGTGCAGTGTGCTGGTTACTGACACCTGGGTGAGCATGGGCCAAGAGGAGAAGAAGAAGAGGAGACTAAAAGATTTCCATGGTTACCAGATCACCATGCAGATAGAGAAATGTCCATCAACTTTTTCTGGTCTGATCCGGTCTATTTTTGTCTATTTCGATTTTGGTAAGTTTTATGTTTCTGTTGACTAGCTGACAGACAGGAAGTGTGGCTGCACCAGACTGGACATTTCTGCACTGTCTCCCATGTAAAGCAGAGGAAGTAGACAATGAAGTTTTCTACTCACCACGTTCCCTTGTGTTCACAGAGGCTGAGAACCGCAAGTGGACCTTTATAGTAAAGTGTATGTGTAAACATGTGAGTATCATTAATGCATTTATGTTTGTAAAGTAATAGTTTCTGTATGTTTTCTCCAGGGTTTGATGGTGTGCATCCTGACAGACTATACGCCACAAATTCCCAAACTCAAATTTAAAAAAAATGTGGGGGGAAAACACTAAGAACAAGAATAGTGTCATCTATCTGTTTTTGTGATTGTAATTGATCATATTTAGCACTATTGGCCAATGGGGGGGTTAAGAAAGAAATAAGAAATACAGAAATAAACAATTGTATTAAATTCATGAATCCTTTGATTTAATGTGTGAAAAATACTTTTTACAACATATTAAATTATTTAAATATTTCAGTGATGCAAATACCTTTAAGACCTATAGAGGGTGCTGTGACATTTTGAGAAATACTATGTGGTATCATATTTGATATATTCAGATGTCTTTAAATTACAAGGGGTTGGATGGACACTGCATTTAAGTTTTCAAAACAGAAAGGAGTTGCAAAATGCACTCAGCAAAAACAACAACAATACATCTCATTTTCAGTCTCCATATAACTGTCACTGTGTCTCTTAAGGTTTCTATGTAATTATGGGATTTGGCATTTATGTCACCTCAAATCACTTATAAACATTTTACATAACAGATAACTCTTTAAATCATCCCTTGCATGTCTAACTCTGCAGGGCAACAATACAGTCCAGCAGTGCAAGGTGATTTAGAGTGAATAGGTGTCACAGATTGGCCAGACTCAGTCACCTCCCAATCACCGCAACCACCTTCACCTGAGTTCTGAGCACCTGCACCTGTCACCAAACAAGCACCTCATTACCAGCCTGCATAAAAGCACACACCTCAGACACCCTCTGTGTCTGGTCTCGTATACACGTAGAGGACTCAATGACTTTGCTACTGATTACTGTTGAGTACTTTGTGCATTACTTACTGCCTGTGTTCCTCGTGTCTCCTGTATCCCCTAGTTCCCAGATCACTGAGGTGTGTGCTTCCCCCGGATACCTTCCAGCCTCGATCAAGCAAAAGACTCGGATTACTCCACTCTCCATATCCTCTGCACTCTCTCACGGACCTCACCCTCACTTCCTCCGGACTCGACACCAGTACTCACTGTGACCAAATAAACTGTTTTGTATATCACTAACCTGTTG